AATCACATGGGGGGGGCTCATCAGCGCACCTGAGATAATAAAGTAAGAAAAAAGTAAAAAATGTAATAAAATAAAAATACACTCCCAAAACTTTTTTTTACAAGCGCCCAGTTTCACGGATGCACGCAATTTTTAACCCGGGCATGTCGGGTATGCGTTTACTCGTCGTCGCCTCGTCTTTTATATTTTATAACAAAAAAAATTGTATTTTATTGTGTTTTGGGTCATGTAAGTGCACTTTTCCCTAAATTTTAGGGGTTTAATAAGGAGTTGCGCTAATATCGTGCAACATAAAAATTTGCAACTGCCGCCATTTTATTCTGCAGGGTCGCGGCTTTCAGAAAATATATCGTGTTTGAGGGGGGTTGAAGCAATTTTTAGGCCTGAAGGGGTTAAGCACTGGGTATCGCTGCGCATGCCGGAAGGGGAGCAATAATTGTCGGGCCGTCATTCACCGCTGACTCTTCAGTGTATCGGGGGGGCTCGCGTGCTTTTGAGAGTTGGGGATCACATTGTGTTTTTGGGGATCACATTGTGTTTTTGGGGATCACATTGTGTTTTTGGGGATCACATGGTATCCGTGTGCACTGCAATTCATTTACGTGTTGTATTTTTTTACAGAAAATATGGATTTCATGGAGAAGGACGATTTCTGTGCGACATGAAAAATGGCCGCCTCCGCCATTGTATTCTCCGCTTTCAGAGAACAGAATTCTGGGGGTTTTAGGACATCTTACAGCCAGGTATCCGTGTGCACTGCAATTCATTTACGTGTTGTATTTTTTTACAGAAAATATGGATTTCATGGAGAAGGACGATTTCTGTGCGACATGAAAAATGGCCGCCTCCGCCATTGTATTCTCCGCTTTCAGAGAACAGAATTCTGGGGGTTTTAGGAAATCTTCCAGCCTAAAAGGCGCATTATATCGTGTGCTAAAAATGTCTGGCAGCAACAGGGACTCTGCAGCTCGTTAAAATTGACGCATTTGGGAGTGTTGGTGGCCTGGCCCCCCCCCCCTTTGGATATCGGGGGTTCCCTCCGCTGACCTCTACGTGTATAATTTCTCATTAGTGATGATAACCCTCCAGTCCGCGTGCGCCTTCCTACCGTCAGAGTGCGGCCTCTTCGCCCCCAGCTCCGCTCTGCGCTGCTCCTCCGACTTCTGGAATCCTCTGCTTCCCAAGTTCGGCCCCGCAGAGGGCCGTGTGTGGCCCCGATCCGGACATCTCTCGGATATATGAGCGCCGCCTGCTGGTGGCTCTGCTGTAATACAACTCAATCAGTCAGACATTTCCAGAGACAAGGTGACCTCACAGACACCCCAATACCTGTAATGTGCGTTTATGTCTTCACCATCGAAGCCGAGTGTAAAATACCATAAAATCCTTTTCCTGGGGTCCATTGTGGGACACGAGTACCGCCCCTCTGCGTATGTGATCAGGAATTGGTTTCCTACAGAACTGAGGCAAGCTCATAGTGGGAGGAGTTATCCTGGGCCCGCCCACATTTGGGTTATTATTTGCCAGTGTCTGATCCTCCTGTAGGCAGCAGTATAACCCAACAGTCGAGGCTTCCTGTGTCCCTCAATATATCCTCTTACATTGAAGGTCAATGTGAGAAGGACCTCCGTACATTGGTGGTCAGTGTGAGAAGGACCTCCGTACATTGGTGGTCAGTGTGAGAAGGACCTCCGTACATTGGGGGTCAGTGTGAGAAGGACCTCCGTACATTGGGGGTCAGTGTGAGAAGGACCTCCGTACATTGGGGGTCAATGTGAGAAGGATCTCCGTACATTGGGGGTCAGTGTGAGAAGGACCTCCGTACATTGGTGGTCAGTGTGAGAAGGATCTCCGTACATTGGTGGTCAGTGTGAGAAGGATCTCCGTACATTGGGGGTCAGTGTGAGAAGGACCTCCGTACATTTGTGGTCAGTGTGAGAAGGATCTCCATACATTGGTGGTCAGTGTGAGAAGGATCTCCGTACATTGGTGGTCAGTGTGAGAAGGACCTCCGTACATTGGGGTCAGTGTGAGAAGGACCTCCGTACATTGGTGGTCAGTGTGAGAAGGACCTCCGTACATTGGTGGTCAGTGTGAGAAGGACCTCCGTACATTGGGGGTCAGTGTGAGAAGGACCTCCGTACATTGGGGGTCAATGTGAGAAGGACCTCCGTACATTGGGGGTCAGTGTGAGAAGGACCTCCGTACATTGGGGGTCAGTGTGAGAAGGACCTCCGTACATTGGGGGTCAGTGTGAGAAGGACCTCCGTACATTGGGGGTCAGTGTGAGAAGGACCTCCGTACATTGGGGGTCAGTGTGAGAAGGACCTCCGTACATTGGGGGTCAGTGTGAGAAGGACCTCCGTACATTGGGGGTCAGTGTGAGAAGGACCTCCGTACATTGGGGGTCAGTGTGAGAAGGACCTCCGTACATTGGGGGTCAGTGTGAGAAGGACCTCCGTACATTGGGGGTCAGTGTGAGAAGGACCTCCGTACATTGGGGGTCAGTGTGAGAAGGACCTCCGTACATTGGGGGTCAGTGTGAGAAGGACCTCCGTACATTGGGGGTCAGTGTGAGAAGGACCTCCGTACATTGGTGGTCAGTGTGAGAAGGACCTCCGTACATTGGGGGTCAGTGTGAGAAGGACCTCCGTACATTGGTGGTCAGTGTGAGAAGGACCTCCGTACATTGGGGGTCAGTGTGAGAAGGATCTCCGTACATTGGGGGTCAGTGTGAGAAGGACCTCCGTACATTGGGGGTCAGTGTGAGAAGGATCTCCGTACATTGGGGGTCAGTGTGAGAAGGACCTCCGTACATTGGTGGTCAGTGTGAGAAGGATCTCCGTACATTGGTGGTCAGTGTGAGAAGGATCTCCGTACATTGGGGGTCAGTGTGAGAAGGATCTCCGTACATTGGGGGTCAGTGTGAGAAGGACCTCCGTACATTGGTGGTCAGTGTGAGAAGGACCTCCGTACATTGGTGGTCAGTGTGAGAAGGATCTCCGTACATTGGGGGTCAGTGTGAGAAGGATCTCCGTACATTGGGGGTCAGTGTGAGAAGGATCTCCGTACATTGGGGGTCAGGGTGAAAAGGACCTCCGTACATTGGTGGTCAGTGTGAGAAGGACCTCCATACATTGGGGTCAGTGTGAGAAGGATCTCCGTACATTGGGGGTCAGGGTGAGAAGGACCTCCGTACATTGGTGGTCAGTGTGAGAAGGACCTCCGTACATTGGGGGTCAGTGTGAGAAGGACCTCTGTACATTGGGGGTCAGTGTGAGAAGGATCTCTGTACATTGGGGGTCAGGGTGAGAAGGACCTCCGTACATTGGGGGCCAGTGTGAGAAGGACCTCCGTACATTGGGGGTCAATGTGAGAAGGATCTCCGTACATTGGGGTCAGTGAAGCGTGATACGACCTCTGTCTCTTCGGTTGCACTCACCAACTCGCGATCTGAAAGTTTCCGCCATTTTGGCCTCGGCGCCCTTCAGCCGAGCGGCCCCATTGGTCACGGCCACTGTGAACGGGTTAGGGGAGCTGCTGAAGGTAACATACGGTTCTGGGGAGGAAAGATTCAGATGGTCA